CAATTATGCAAAAGGACAGTAGAAAAAGACATGATCTCTTGTTTCTAGTTCCTGCATGTGGCACATGTCAAAAGTATAGTCATGTATATAGAAAGCTTTCCTCTGCAAAAGAGCTATACTATTCAGTCTGTTATTAACCAGAAGCCCAAAGAAATTTTTATGCTGTAGTTGACAACAAGTTTTTCAAAGCTATTTTAGAACTGGCAAAATCTCTTGGTTATCGACAAAGCTTTATTGTAACATCCCAAATTTTTAATTTGGAATGTTATACATAGATCATCATTGCATATCATATTTTTATTGCATTTAGGCTTGATCCTAGAAATTTCATGAAACTCAAGGACCCACGGAGAGAGTTGGGAATTTAGTTATTTTCATATTTGAGTTTTCTCAAATTTTGAAAATAGGATCATTTGATTTTATTTATTTTATCTTCAATTATTTCTACTATGAAAATATGGGAGAGGGAATAAAATGACTTTCCCAAAATAAAGAAATATTGAGGATTTGATAATAAAATCAAATAAGATTTTATTTTCGAGTTTATTGCTATTTTATTTGAATTTAGGAAAAATGCGCGTTTTTCAAAATTGCATTTAGGCCCCAAATAAATGTTCATCTAAACCGGCTTGATTTTAGAAGTCTGGGAAAATTTATTTTGGGATTTTTGGAATCTGTTTACTATTTCTTTTATTTTTTTTTCTGCGCGTAATGTTTAAAAAAACGAAACCGACTTTGGGCCGTGTTCGGCCAGGACTCCGCCTGGCCGGGCCTTTATAATGCGCTGCCAGAGCCCACCGAGCCACCAGCCCGCCCCGCGCCCAAACCCTCACCCTAAGCCGCCGCCGCCGCTGCCGCCGCCTGCCGCCGCCGCCGCCGCCTGCCGCCGCCGATGCCCCGGACGCCGCCACCCCGCCGGACCCCGCCGCCCCCTCGCCGGAGGTAGCTACCGCCTCGCCGCCGGCGGTTTTCCTCGAGAAAACCGTTCGGTTTTTCCGCCGGTTTTTCGTTCGTTTAAAAAAAAAACCTAGATCCTTTTTTTCGGTTTAGTTTATTTAGCGGACGTTCGTCCGTACGTTTGTTTTAACGAACGGTTTTCGTCATTTAGCCGCAGACAGTGAACGTTCGTTCGTTAGCCTGTTCGTCAGTTTTTCTTTTTCTCGAATTTTCCGCGATTACTTCTGATCGCGATTTCTGATCTGTTTTCATTTTAGTTTATATTTTCGCTTGTTTATCGGAATCAGGCGATTCAAGTGCCTAGAGTTTCGTCTCGAAACCCTCTTTCCGTTTAACCAACTCAAACAAGTTTTTGCTACTGTAAAATTTGACTTAGGTCCAGATTAGTAAACGAAGCTTGTTTCTTTCGCCGTTTGACCTTCCTTGCTTCGTTTGATTTGATTGTTTTTCCAAACCGGAGTTCTTAAGTTGAACTTTTTGGTTAGATCTCTTATTTGAGTTTTACCCATGTATTAGATAAGTACTTATTGTATGCTTGTTTGTTTGCGATAGAGTACCCGGAGTGCGCCGTTTGCTACTTCGAATCTCTAGGTTTCACGGATCATCAGCAAGGTAAGTAACACTTTGATCGTACCTTTTTACTATCCAGTTTTATTGTATTAGATCAATCCTCAAACAATTGCATGATTAGGATCTGATTAATATGTGGGTTTTGGGAAGTAGATGAGGTAGTACCTATTACCTGTTTTATTATCAAACCCTTGGGAGTTACTCTACGTTTGCTTATTATGCCATGCTATGCTAGTAGACGTGGATTGGGTGAGTGTATCCATGACAGATGTGAGTTTGTTTAATTAATGGTTTATTTAAGGTGGCAACTTTAACACACATCTGAGTGGATTGAGGCACCTGGGTATTCCAGCGATTGCATGTTTTCTTTATGGACCGCCACCCAGGCTCAAAGGGATCATGAGATTATTCATGCTAGAAACTTCTGTGTGCAGCCACAAACTACTATGGGCTCTAGCATAGTTGATTAAGTCGTGTGAACTCTTATAGTGGTAGACTAGCAGATGTTGGGGAAAGTAGGTGTAACGGTCTACCCGATCGTAAGGTGCTAGCGCTTCTGAAAGACTATGTCTCGGTCATCCGTTTCTCAAACACCATGTAGTGCGAGAATCCCAACGGAGGAGATCGAGTCTTGTTGGGAAAAGTGCGCAAACCTCTGCAGAGTGTATAAACTAATCATGGTTAGTCGTGTCCCCGGTTATGGACGTTTTGAGTATCTAGTACTTGGATTATCATGTGAATCTCATCATCTTACTCTTAATTAATATTGTTGGGTTTTTAATGATGATTTAATTGGGATTGAGAGGGTGTCTACACTCAATGTTTAACAACCACCATGATAGTTAAATAAAATTTATTCCTTTGTAGTAGGGAAAAATTGGCTTTACGCAAAAACTATAACCATAGAGCTTTCCACCAGCCATATGTGCATGTAGTATAGCTTTATTCTTTCATTACTCTCTATGTGTTACATTGCCAGCATATTCCATGTGCTAACCCGTTTCGGGCTGCAACGTTCATGTTGCAGACTTTTCAGACGACGAGTAAGGTGCCTTTAGGTCGTGGTTCTATACTCAGTGATGCCGTTGGAGTTGATGGACTCACTTATCTTCCAAGCCTTCCGCTGTTATCGTTATTAGATGACATTAAGCCATATTTATTGTAATAAGTTCTCTTTTGAGACATTCAATGTAAGAAGTGTGTGATTGCTACTCTGTTATAAATCCTTCAAGTACTGTGCGTGTCAGCATTACTGAACCAGGGATGACACTGATGCACAGAGATCAGGCTGTTTGAGGTCTGGTCGCTACAAGATGGTATCAGAGCACATGCTGACTGTAGGACACGACCACTAAGCTAAAAACCCTAGATCACTACTCTCTTTTCTCATTTCTGACTCCTCATCTTTTCTACTCTTTTAGGATGGCGGATGCAAGGAACAATTTCACACAACCGGATGAAGATACACCCTTTGGACGCCACTTGAAGGAAGTCACTAGATACCTAAACATCTGAGTACCAAGCTTCACCGGGACCTACAACGCCACTTTACCTGAAGAGGAGCGCTGGACGGTTCAAGTTCAAGTTCCAGGAAGAACGTTCATGCCAGTAACTGAGCCCATAGAGTTTTCCTTTGATGCACCAACCTGGAGTCTAGGAAAGAGCATGGCAGCCCACATCACAATGGGACGCATTGGAGAAGTTTACCAAAAGGATCTCAAGGATACTATCTACCAGATTTGTGGGCGCCGAGATGAGCAATGGGAGATGATCAGCACCAGGAAGGATAGATCAATCGCAGCTTTC